AGCATCTTGGGTGCATCTGGGGGGGCTCTTGGGGCCTCTTGGGGGTCTCTTGGGGGCCTCCGGGGGGCCTCTTGGGGGCCTCTTGGGGCCATTTTGGGGCCATCTTGGGACCTCTTGGGGCTTCCTGGGCGCTTCTTGGGGCCATCTTGGAGGAGATCGATCAAACAAGAGGGGGGGTTTAATTAGCGCCCCCCCTCGGAAGCCCCTAAAATCGCCTCTTGGACCCCTCTTGGAACGCTCTTGGAGTGCTCTTGGGCGCTCTTGGGGCCGTCTTGGGGCTCTTTTGGGGCTCTCTTGGGGCCCTCTTGGGCCATCTTGGAACCATCTCCAGGCCTCGGATGGCCATCGGAAGCGAAAAGGCGAGAAAGCAAAAATCATTGATTTTCCTTAGGTTTTGGGACGATTTTGGCCTCTTCGGGGCCTCCTTGGGGAGCTGTTTGGCCACTTGGAGTTATCTTGGGGCCGTCTTTGGGCTTCTTGGAACCATCTTAGGAGCCATCTCGAGCGATCTTGCGCTATCTTGAGCCATCTTGGAGCTCATCTTGGGTTCTCTGAGGCGCTCTTGGAGCCGTCTTGGGCCATCTGGGACGCTCTAACTACCCGCGGCCCCCCCCGTCCAGGTCCAGGGGAGGGGGTAGGGGGAGGGGTAAACCCCTCCCCAAGGGGGAAGAGGGAGGGGTGGAAGAGGATCTGTTCTAGACCACCTACGCCCAGAGGGCTGGTGGGATTAGTGAGGGCTTATTGCAAACGCCAGGCGAGGAGGAAAGATGTAAGTCGGGTTACGGTTTAACGGGTATGTGTGCTTAACGCTTCGAGAGACTCTCGAACACATGTCGCGCTTCAGAAGCTCGAAACTCGGACCAAACCATGGGTGGGGCCAGCCTTTTCAGGCTGGCTAGATCAGGCCTCCTTTTCCAATCCGACTCCCTTCAAATGCAGGCGCGGCCAGGCAGGCGTAACACCACACGAGAGATTGGCGACAGCCTTAGATATTCTGTAAGCCCGCCCCAGCCACTGGGACTCCGCCGAAGTGTGCAGGGGGTGCCTGGACAAAGGACTCGTAGCGACAGAATCCGCCAAGTCATGACCCGCCTTGAGGGGACTATCGTGGCTACTGAGGTCGGGTGAGTCAGCCACATGGGCGTTCACTTTGACAACTCCGTCTGCAACTTTCCGCGGATGGGGCAGCAGGAGCCCCGCGGAAGGTGGCTTGTAGCTCATGGCCCAGGCCAGGGGCCCGTGGGCTTGAACGGCCTCCTCCTCCTCCTCGTCCTCCTCCTCCCCCCCCTCCTCCTCCTCCTCCTCCTCCTCCTCCTCCTCCTCCTCCTCCTCCTCCTCCTCCTCCTCCTGAACATCCTCCTGGGCCCCCGCTGGCGGGCCCCTCTGTCTGCGCCCTCCGGCATCGGCGGCCCTTTTCTGCGGCGCCGCACCGGAACAGACAAAACTCAGCAGACGAAACGCGTTTTCCCAGTCCGGAACATGGACGAACCCCGGAGAGCGTGCACTGCAGCCAGAGCACAGACACCGAATTCATCAGCCTGGGGCGTCCAGATCGGTCCATTAAAGCGGGCGAGCTCGACGCATTCGTCGTCAACGATAGCACCCCCCAGCTAGCCCTAGATGACTTTGAGGTCTTGTGGGACATACAGGAGCCACCAGCGAATGCCTCTCCTTGGTGGACAGTGATGTCGACCTTATCAGGGAAATCACGCCAGGGCACTTCGAATCCGTGCTCGTCGGTATCCTCCCGATCTGGGCGAGGCAACACGTCGCCAGGATGACGAAAGAGGCCGCAAGTATAGGGGGCGTAATCTTCATTATATTCGTTGAGGCCGAGGGGGAGAAGAGGTCGAAGCCGCCCTTGATGGAATCAGACGGCTCTTGCCTCTCTACCTGTACAGCTGGGTACCACAGAATCGTCGCCTTGGCCCCCTTGCAAAGATCACACAAGTCGTCGACTTGATAGCGGACCAGGAGCGCGCGAGAACGTGTTCAAATAGCGGGGCACGAGGTTGTATTGATGCAATTGTTTTTGTATTTGGTTTGTTCGGTGGACCTTAATTCAGCCGAAACGGTGTACCGATGACCGCGGACCCTTGGGACATTCGGAAAAATTTTAGCGCCCGAGTCTCCCTCGTGCATGCGCTTGGCCGCAGCACGCAAGACTACGGAACATTTCAGGCGAAGCGATTGTCAAAGAAACGTCGGTCCCGAAGTCGCATACGAGAGTGGCGTAGGAGAGCATGGACAACTCCAGGCGCTGTATGAGAGTTTCATGGCACTCAGGGGTCCCGCGACCCCCCTCCAAGTCGAAAGACCCTCCTGGAGAAAAACGTTAGCCCAGGAATCCCGAAGCTCTTCACAGGGAATCGCGAACGGGGACAAACGAGTTTGATTCGCCCAAATCCCCATGGCGTAGCGCACGTTGGGTGCCACGCCGCCGTACCACGCGGTTGCGTCATACAATATCCGTAAGGGCTTCGCCCCCTGCCGCCGGCCCCCTCTCTAGGAGAATGCGCTATGCAAGAGCTATGTCATGAGGCCTGGGCGCTGTCGTGAAGCAGTATCGGAACTTCATGCGAGGCCGACTCGTAACGAGCAAAACCAATAGATGACCAGAGGGGTTACAACACCTGGCGATTTGTAAGACGTCGTGACCCTGCCGATCTGCGTGAGGGGTGCCGCCGAATTTCAGAAATGTGGCAAATCCCCGGTGTTTTTGGACCCTGACCTCGCCGATCTGCGTGAGGGGTGCCACCGAATTTGAAAAATGTCGCAAACCCCGTGTGTTTTTGGACCCTGACCCCGCCGATCTGCGTGACGGGTGCAACCGAATTTCAGAAATGTGGCAAATCCCTTGTGTTTTTGCACCCTTACCCCGCCGATCTGCATAAGGAATGCCACCGAATGTCAGAAATGTGGCAAATCCCATGTGTTTTTGGACCCTGACCCCGCCGATCTGCGTAAGGGGTATTCACAAATTTCAGAACTGTCGCAAATCCCTTATGTTTTTGGATCCTGACCCCGCTGATCTGTTTGAGGGGTCCCACCGAATTTGGGAAATGTTGCAAATCCCAAGTGTTTTTGGACATTGACCCCGCCGATCTGCGTGAAGGGTGCAACCGAATTTCAGAAATGTGGCAAATCCCCGGTGTTTTTGGACCCTGACCCCGCCGATCTGCGTGAGGGGTGCCATCGAATTTGAGAAGTGTCGCAAACCCCGTGTGTTTTTGGACCCTGACCCCGCCGATCTGCGTGACGGGTGCAACCGAATTTCAGAAATGTGGCAAATCCCCGGTGTTTTTGGACCCTGACCCCGCCGATCTGCGTGAGGGGTGTAAATTTTACCCCCCAGAAATTTTGAGAACTCTCCCAGGGCGTGGTAAAAATGCCCGTTTTGAGCTTCCCCCCTTCGCGCGGTCCATCAACAAGGAACAGTAAGCAGCAAGAAGTCAACAAGGAACAGTAAGCAGCAATAAGCAGAACTGCAACAGTGGAAACTGGAAGCTGCAACTGGCACAGGAAACTGCGAACCTTAGCCCTACAGCCTGGTGGCCCCACAAGGGGGCCGGCGGATATTCACCGAGGTGAGGGAATGGAAGATAGCCGACGTTTGCATCGTGTTGGCACACAAGATTTGCATTTGGCGTCACCCGGAGCTGGAGAGATCGTGCACTTCCGCGCCGTAGGTGAAGCTGGGCATGGGTCATGCAGTGACAATCCTACTGGAATGATGTCCGAAAGCCTGCTTGATACGACTAAAATGTTTGGAACGCTTCTCGAGGCTTGCTTTCTGACCATGATTTTCTTGCTACGCCCAGCCGCGCGTGTCCAGTTTTTTGTCCAGCGGTGTCGTCGATCCCCAAATTGACTGCCGAGATGGTGGCCGCCATTTCGTCCTCGATGGCCAGCTGGACGCCCGTGGCCGTGGTGCCAAGATTTTTTACCACATCCATGACGGTCCCTGAGGAGCTCAGAGCCAGTGGTCGCCTATGTAGACGCCCAGGGTGACCCTCTCGGCAGCTGGCACTGTCGAGCGCAGTCACGGCTTGCACGCGGATCAGAGATGTGCCCAGGGAGCACCCGGAGAAGAATCCGCACTGCACGGAAAACACCACCGACGACCACGCCAGTCATGCAACCATATCTGCGAAGGCAAGGAGCACTGACAACGAGACGGCCGAGCTGGACAAGAAAACCGAAACGCCTGGGCTACACAAATCGACAAGGTCGTATCATGTATAGAGGTCCCAGAGCAGGGCCATCGAGATTCCTTCTGATTCCGCCGTCGTTTCGCTCCCAAGCCTTTGACGCCAAACGACATCCACAGCAGAACTGAAACCAGACGCGGCGAAGCACGGACGCTCAGGGGACGTCTCCCAAGCATGGGCACGCGGACGACGGCGCCGCCCCCACAAGCGATAGACTCCTGACAAGCCCTGTATGGCGAAATGCACCCGCAGGTTTTGTTGAGCATCGCCACGACCACCACGCTGAGCTGGATCGGACAACGGCCTGAGGACTCCATCATTCTCAGGATGTTCGCTAAACAGTGAGAGAGCAGTCGCTGAGGCTGCTGAACTTCCTCATGTGGAATCCGCCGACGGCCGTGGCAGTCCTCGACAAATATCTCCTGCTAGCAGACCTAAGAGTGTCAGGATCAAGCTCAGGGAGAGGGTCCAGATCATGTTCGAAAGACTCGCCAGAAGCAGGGCGTGTGGTGGAGGCATTCCAGAGCTTACGCAGCTTCCGAGCCTCCGAATCCCAAAGTGCCAAGTGGTCAGACACGACGCTACCGTCACAGCTGAGACTAGAGTTAAGTCGGGCCTGTCCCTCTACAGAATGAATCGTCAAAAATAGGAAAAAATAGTCCAGGGACGGTTTTTTTATGATGTTTGGGCATTTGGGGATTATTGCGTGAGAATGTTTATTGGTTCGCCCAAGGTCCCCCTGTAGGGGGACAGGCCCGACCTAAGACTAGAGCTAGGCTCGCAGTGGTCATGACCCCGAACCTGTTGCCGAGCCCTGCGAGCACCCCTGTGTCTGCAGAGTCTAACAACCAGGATTTCCAGTCCTTGATGGCCTCGGCCTTGGTATTGGATGGAAGACCCTGTAGATACACGTCAATGGGCTCCAACAACTCCACATCCTTCGAGATGTTCAAGGGGGTGGAGGACATGATAGCGCGGACTCTGTCGTGCCCGTAGACATCAGTTTCCATCCCTTTGCATGATAGCACGGGCTCTGTCGTGCCCGTAGACATGAGTTCCCATCCCTTCGGCGAGGAAGTGGAGCGGCACCCGAAGCAGCTGAGACACTTCATGGACTTGGGCAGAGTCGGCTTGAGCAGCCGCCAGCTGGTGCAGAAGCCGAAACCTGGTGACCTGCCAGTTCATCGAGCAAAGCTCGGGCTGACGTTGGGTCGGGCATGTCCCCTTGCAGGCGGATTTTGGACGAAAGGTTGAAACATCCCCAACTATGCCCAGAAATGATCAGAAAAATAGAAAAAATCGTCCCCAGGCTATGGTTTTTTTAAACCATGTTTGAACATTCCTCCTGCAGAGGGACAGGCCCGACTCAAGGCTGACGACGCGGAGCCTGCGTGTCTTGGGCCAATCTACTGACCCAGTGCCCTTTTCAGGCTTGCCACGATCTGCCGAGGCGGGCCAGGTTCCCAGAAGCTCCTCCTCCGACACGTGCTCATGCCGTCCCAGAAGGGACACCAGGGAAAGGGACTTTTGAGACCGGCGACGTCGATCTCTCAAGTCCGCTCGGCTTCGCCCACAGGGTCGCCGCATGACACTGTCACTCGCACTTCTCGAAGTCCGTCTGAGATGCAACGCCGCGGTCTCAGAAGTCCCTTTCGCTGGCGTCCCTTTAGGAGACGTATCAGACACACACGCCCGCTGTTGAGGATTAGAAAATTACATGAACATAAACTTTTGGAGCCCCGCGCCGATTTCTTGGATCGGCGCCCGTGCCCCCCTGGCGGCGCCTCCGGCGCCGCCCCTGGCGCGCTCCGCGCGCCAGGGAGGAGGGTCCAGCGCAGATCCAAGAAATCCGCGCGGACCGTCGAACAGTCTGTGTTTATACAATGTTCTCTTCCTCTACGCTGCTCGTGCCACAGATCCCATGCCTGCTGCACAGGACGAGCCTTGTCCTGCTTGGCACTGCTGCTGGCTGCTCGCGGCGGCCGCGAGACTGCGGGCGTGCGAGGGGAGGTTCGGGGGCGGGGGCCCACAGCAGGTTCCACTTGGAGTCGGCGGTGGCTCCCATAAAAACAAGCCCGTGACGCAGTCCGAGGAGAGGGACCGGAGGAGAAGGGGGGGCGAGTTGTCATCTCGGCGGGCGTGTTTGCTCGGGACGCCTTCTCCCTCCCCCCTCGAGCGGGAGGGAGGTCTGAGAAAGAGTTTGATGATGCTGATGCCGAAGCCGATGCCGGTGCTGCTGATGATGATGCAAATGATGACGATGATGTTGATGATGATGGTGATGTTGGCAGTGATGGTCATTACCACGGTGATGATGTTGATGCTGATGACGATGATGATGTTGATGATGACGATGCTGATGATGTTGTTGATGATAATGATGTTGATACTCATGATGATGTTGTTATGATGATGATGATGATGATGATGAAGCTGATGATGCTGATGATGAGGATGAGGACGAGGATGATGCTGATGATGCTGATGACGATGATGATGATGATGATCATGATCATGATCATGATCATGGTGATGATGCTGATGCTGATGCTGATGCTGATGCTGATGATGATGATGATGGTGATGATGATGATGATGATGATGATGATGATGATGATGATGACGGGGAGGAAGAGGATGAGGAGGAGAAGGAGGAGGAAGACGAGGATGAAGATGGGGATGAGGATGATGATGCTGATGATGATGCTCATGATGATGATGATGATGATGATGATGATGATGATGATGATGATGATGATGATGGTGCTGCTGATGACGATGATTATGGTGATGATGGTGATGATGATGATGATGAAGACGCTGATGCTGATGCTGATGATGGTGATTCTGATGACGAGGATGCTGATCATGATGATCATGATGGACATGATGACGATGACGATGATGATGATGGTGATGACGATAATGATGAGGATGATAATGATGATGATGATAATGATGCTGATGCTGATGCTGATGATGATAATGCAGTTGTTGGTGGTGCTGATAGCGATGATGGTGGTGATGGTGATGATGAAGAAATAGCATGACGATGTTGATGATGATGATGGTGATGATGGTGGTGCTGCTGATGATGGTGGTGATGATGAAGCTGATGATGCTGATGATGAGGATGAAGATGGGGATGAGGATGATGATGCTGATGATGATGCTCATGATGATGATGATGATGATGATGATGATGATGATGATGATGATGATGATTATGATGCTGATGCTGATGATGATGCTGATGATGATGATGGTGATGATGATGATGATGATGATGATGATGATGATGATGATGATGATGATGACGGGGAGGAAGAGGAGGAGGAGGAGGAGGAGGAGGAGGAGGAGGAGGAGGATCCCCTCTTAGGTCTCCGACTCAGCTTATCGTTGGCTCCTGCACCTCGACAGGTGTTTCGCCCTTCATGGGCCGCTTTCTGACGATCTGGTGTCCTCAAAACGGCCCCTGGAGGCCACAAATTACATCACGCTTCCATTGTGTTGGGGTCAGGGGAGGGATAACGAGGAGGGAACGGGGAGGGGATGGAGGGGGATGGAGGAGGAGGAGGAGGAGAAGGAGGAGAAGGAGGAGAAGGAGGAGGAGGAGGCGGCGGAGGAGGAGGAGGACGAGGACGAGGGCGAGGACGAGGACGAGGACGAGGGGGAGGAGGAGGAAGGAGGACGGAGGAGGGAGAAGGAGGGAGGAGGGAGCAGGCAGCATGCATGCTCGAGCAGAGGAGGAGGCAGCAGAGGAGCCCTGTCCTCCTTCCCGCACGCGCCACTGGCGGCCCGCGCCGATCCCGTCGGGAGGTCGCCCTGGGACGGCAAGCACCCGGAGCCCAAGTCCCGCGTGGACCGGCCTATGCCGCCTGGGGGTTCAGGGGACTTCAAAGCCCGTTTTGGGTCGACTGCACGTAAGAGTGACCTTTCTCTGGAGTGACCTTTGGTGCGGGCACAGATGGGTCCTCAGATGGCTGAAAACGAAGCGGTAGCAGCGGCTTGCGCGCCCAGGTTTGGTCTCCCCGCGGCCCCCACAAAGCCGCGCACCAGAGGTCACTCTTGCCCAGGGTCACTCTTGCGTGTAGCCGAGATGCTCGTTGTGGGGACCTTCCCGGGGCACAGACTGCCAGCCTTTTCCTCCAGCGGTTCGGGGTCGGGCAGCTGCTGATGTCGGCGTCTGCCCACGTCCAGTCGTCGCCGCTCCGTTTGTCCTCGACGCGCCCCAGTGAACGACACCGACACCACAGGAAACTCAAGGCAACCTCCGACCTCGGTGTCCGAGGCGGAGTTTGCCCTGGTAGCCGAGGCGCCCTCCCCAAGACGGACGGCCGCGCATCGGAGCAAATAGCGCGGCGACAGATACATTCGATGCTCGTTTTGGGGACTTTCCTGGGGCACACCTAGTGGATCTGCTCGACTCCAGTTCGACTCAAGTTCGACTTAGCTTCGACTCAAGTTCGACTCAGGTTCGACTCGAGCCGACGGACGTTAGCCACAGCTTCGACGCACGAGCGGAGCGATTGGCTCCAAAAAGGTCCCAAGAATGAGCATCTAAGGGGACCGGTCGTCGGCAGGGGAAAATTGGTCCTGAGTTTCTTTGCCCGTTTCTCGACTACACGTAAGAGTGACCCTTCGCCTTTGTGTCTGCCCCCCCCAAAAAAAGAGCCGCGCACCAAAGGTCACTCTTACCCAGGGTCACTCTTGCATGTAGCCGGAACGGATCCTGAGGTTATTCGCCGTTATCGTTCGCGCACATGCCTACGGCCATGACTTGCGAACCGCCCACCTTGACGCTCCCCTCCTGGACGGGGGCATGTCGGCATACCCTCAGGAGTGGCCCTCTGCCGGAATGACCTCCCGTGCGCTGCTTTCGGAGGGCGCGGGGGCAAGCCAAAGCACGTGGGCCGCTACTGTCGCATCGCGTGCAGCTATTGGCACGCCGCGCACCAGAGGTGGGGGGTCAGGGGATCGAGAGAGGCGAAAGAGGGTGCGAATGAGGGGGGCGAAAGTGGGGGATCGAGGGGGGTCGAGGGGGATCGAGGGGGGTCGAGGGGGATCGAGGGGGAATCGAGGCGGATCGAGGCGGATCGAGGGGATCGAGGGGGATCGGGGGGGGGCGAAAGAGGGGGCGAAAGAGGGTGAGGTTTGGCCCGTGGGCGGAACGTCGACCCCGCACTGCCCCTTCGTCGCCGAATCGGGGCTCGGGCACCCCACGGTGCTATCGAGGGCCTTTTGGCAAATGCATCGGCAACTTGTCGGCGATTCCAGGCAAGTCCAGCGCTCCTGCGTTTGGGTTCTCGTTTTGAAGAGAGCAATGTGGTCTCCACGCCTTCGTCCTTCTTCCTTCCTCCTCCCCCTCCTGCTTCCTGTCTCTGCCCCCCCCCCGCTCTTTCCTGTTTAGTCGTCTTCTCCCTCGTCGAGACCTCGCGGGATCTTGTGGGGTTGCGAACCGTTCAATTGTCGCCATTTTCATGGGCTCCTGGGAGGTCCAGCGGAGTGGAGGTCCACGCGGACTTGCCGCGACCTCGCGGCTCCCTACGGGCCTGCGAACCACGCGATTGTCGCCATTTTCGCAGGCGGACTTGCCGAGACTTCGCGCTCCCATGGGGGGCTGCGAACCGCGCAATTGTCGAGACCTCGCGGCTGCCTGGCGGGCTGCGAACCGCGCAATTGTCACCATTTTCGTGGGTTCCTGGGAGGACCAGCGGAGTGGAGGTCCACGCGGACCCGCCGAGACCTCGCGGCTCCCTGCGGGGTTGCGAACCAGGCAACTGACGCCGTTGGGAGGTCCAGCGGAGTGGAGGTCCACGCGGACCTGCCGAGACCTCGCGACTTCCTGGGGGGCTGCGAACCGCGCAATTGTCGCCGATGTCGTGGGCTCCTGGGAGATCCAGCGGGGTGGAGGTCCACGCAGACCCAGCCGAGACCTCGCGGGCCCTGGGGGGCTGCGAACCGCGCAGTTGTCGCCCATGTCGTGGGCTCCTGGGAAGTTCAGCGGAGTGGAGGTCCATGCGGACCCAGTCTAGACCTTGCGGCTCCCTGAGGGGCTGCGAAGTGCGCGTCTTTCATCATGTTCGTTTGTATTGAGCGGTCCTTGATGTAGCTGCCCCGTTTTAGAAAGGGTCGGGTACGTCACGCGGTAATTTTCCGCGCGGGCGAGTCACCCCTTCTGGCACCCATTACCATGGGAGTTGAGGCCCCTTCTGGAGGCTTCCAGTGAGCTCCGTGGAGACTTGTGGAGACCTCCCTGTGGCGACACACGACGTCGACAGAACAAACATCTTGCCCGACGGCAGGGTTTGAGGCTAGGTGCTCGAGGACTGTGGTCTGAGGTGTTTGGGCTCGTGGGCTTATTGTGAAGGCCTTCTGGCCAGTGCCGCCGACCCTGAATACGAGAACGACGACGACGAGGATGAGGAGGAGGAGGAGGAGGAGGAGGAGGGGGAGGAGGAGCAGGAGGAGGAGGAGGAGGACGCGGTGGAGCAGCAGGAGGGGGAGCAGGAGGATGAGGAGGAAAATGAGGAGCGTGAGCAGGGCCAGGGGGAGGACGGAGGGGGATGAGCAGTAGGAGGACGGGGAGAATTGGAGTCGGAGCATCAGGAGAAGAAGGAGGACGCGGAGGAGGGAGAGGAGGAGGGGCAGGAGGAGGAGGACGAGGAGGAGGAGGAGGAGGAGGAGAGGGAGGAGGAGGAGGAGAAGGAGGAGGGGAAGGAGGAGCATGGGAAGGACGAGGTCGAGATAAGTATGCGAAGCATCCGGGGAAGAGCACGCGGGGGAGGGTGGGGAGCATGATTCTGAGGATGATCAGGAACATGAGGATGATGAGGAGGAGGAGGAGGCGAAGGAGGGGGATGAGGAGGAGGGAACTGGTGAGGAGGAGGAGGAGGAGGAGAAGGAGGAGGAGGAGGAAGAGCAGGGGGAGCAGGAGGAGGAGGAGGAGGACGCCGTGGAGCACGAGTGGGAGGATGGGGAAGAGCATGCGGAGGAGGATGTGGAGGGGGAGTTGGGTAAGAAGGAGGTCGAGAAGGGCAATGAGCAGGTGGATGGGGATGGAGACGAGGTGGAGGAACAGGAGGAGGAGGAGGAGGGTGAAGAGCAGGAGGAGGAGGAAATGTTTGTCGGGGTCTCTTCGGAGTGCTTTCGGGGGCCTCTGGAGACTCTGGTGGGCAGTTTGGGGGCGTTTGGGGAGACTCTTGGGGGGCCTCTTAGGGGCCTCTTGCGGGCCTCCTGAGGCTTCCTGGGAGCTTCTTGGGGCGTCTTCGAGGCCTATTGGGTCCTCCTGAGAGCTTCTCATGGGCGAGGGCTCGAGGTGTCCGTCCGGGTCCCCCGTCTGGGCACCCTCTTGGAGCCGTCTCGGGTGTCTCCTGGCCGGGACCGAGTCGTATCCCCCACCCGGGACCCCCCCTCCGACGGGGGAGGGATCAAAGAGAGGGGGTTCCCCTTCAATTGAATTATGACGCTACTCAATTTCGCTTTGGCTAGCACGCTTGGGGGAGAGGGCCCAGAAAAAGGGGGGAGCGGCGACGGGCCCAGGGAAATCGGGGCCACAGGAAAAGGAGCCAGCAGAGACGACGACTAAGGAATGACGAAAAGGACGGCTCGAACGGACAAGCCCCTCACACTCTCCGACAGGGTCGGCGGATGTTTCATTATCGCCACTGCAATCCGGGGACGGCTGACCTGTGATAGTGGTTTGCTGGGCGCGGGCAGCGCCTCGCACAGCAAAGCACCAACACAGGTCAGCAGCTCCTGGTCTACAGTGGTGCTGGTGTGAATGAGGCCCCCGTTGTTTTCTCAGACTTGCTGACCTCCTGGGTGCCTGTCGCCGCCACGGCTCGATTTCCCGCCGAAGTTCTGGCCAGGACGCACCTCTGAGCGGGTCCAGGAGCCGATGAGTAGTGACCCCCGAGCCCGGACCTCTTGCCAGAGCCGAAGTTCGGGTTGACCCAGAAGGGCGTCCAGCGATAATGAGGCGGTGCAATAGATTTGGTGCAATAGATTCGTGGGGTTGCAATGCATTTGGGGCGTGTAATACATTCCAGGGCGCAAATGTATTGCTGGATCCACGCGTGCAATACATGATTTGCAAGATACTGCAATGCAAGTCTCCGGCGCAATACATTTGCAATACAATTGCCCGAAATCTATTGCACCACCCCCTCTCCAGCTGGACCCCCTTGTGGGCCACCCAAAGAAGTGTCCAGGCTCCGGCTGGCACTTGCTGTGTTCGGCGCCTTGCAGGGGACGGGCGATCTCTCTCAGCCCGGAGTCCCAGTCATCAGGCGCAGTGTGTGCTACAGGTACCTGCATGGAGTGAGACTCCGTCGGCAGGGACTGGACGTATTGTGCGCGGAGGCGGTCTCTGCGGTCAAGCCGAGTCCAAAACATGTATTACGCCAGAGAAAAACCCAATCAGTGGATGGTTTGATCGATAAGGAGATCGACCGGGAACCCGGGAACCCAGGAACCCAACCCTCCGAAATCGGCCTGGAACCAATACCCGGGAACCCGGGAACCCGGGACCGGGCACCCAGGAACCCAGCTTGCTACCAAATCTTTCAACTTCCGCTATGACCCCATCAGTGCAAGCACTGATTGGGGTACAGACCTCTTGCGGCCCGACAGGAGCCAGCCCCAGGCTTGTCAACAGGATCGGCCTCCCGGGGCCGCCTCCTGTCAACGTCATACGTCGGCGCAGGGTCAACGTCGGCGGGGGAAGGCATCCATATTTCTGGGGGCTGGGGGAGGAGGAGGAAGAGGAGGAGCAGGAGGAGGAGGAGGAGGAGGAGGAGGAGAACGAGGGGTAGGAGGAGGAGGAGGAAGAGGAGGAGGAAAGATCTGAGTCGCTGTAGG